ATTTGTACATAATTGATGAGTGCTTGATTTAGACGGATCAGCAAGCTGATCTCACAGAATAGAGGGAAACAAAGAAGGTAGACAAAAAGATGAAAAAATTTTAACTGACATCTTTTGCACAAATCTCACAATACTGATTCCCAAAAATTAAACTGGTTTCTTATAAGGACCAAAGATAATATTAAAGCAGGGTTGATTCCTCAAAGACTCATGAAAATGGACTCAAAGGACAACGTTCTTTTTAAAATGCTGTATCCATTTAGGACGTAGGTAATCATGATTCCTGTAGGATTACTTTTTCTTTATTATCTGTGAATTGCTATGTATTCTTAGGAAATAGTGATTTCCTGTTGCCATCTTCATTGTTTTGTATTCAGCTTTGCCTTCTCCTAGACTGGTTGCTATCAAGGCTAGGGATTTTAGTCTATTCTGTTATTTAAAGCATAGCGGAAAAAGAAATGGATTTATGTATTTCCCAAGAAAATTAATGCCATTTCCCTTCAATAATAGGTAATCATGGCTCTCCACAGGATCTTTTTCTTTACTATCTGTGAATTTCCATGTATTCTTGGGAAATACTGTGTAGGCGTTTTCTAGTACCTTCTCTATGGTTTGATATTCAGAGTTTTCCTGTACTCAGACTGACTCCTAGCCAAAGCTAAAGAGCCCAGTCCACCTTGCTAATTAATCCAAAGCTGGTGGGACTGGAGAAGAGATAAGACTTAAGCCTTTATCAAAGGGCATTATTGTGAAAGTGAGTGCAACAGACTAGCCTGGAATTTGAGCTTGGCTCACTGAATCCACTTTCTATAATGATGTTCATTGCACTGCTCCAAATCTATTTTCAATAGACAGAATTTACACCAATAATTATGGGTAATCTTAAACGTGGTTCACTAATTAGCATTGATATGAACACATCAAATTCTATGTCATTAACAATTAGGTTAAAATCAGAAGAAATTTGCTTTTGATGTTTATAATATGATTAATAGCAATATCTGAGGATAAATGTATGAATTGTGGGATCAGCAAATCAGGGATCTGGATCCAACAAGCCAGAGAGCAAGACAGTTTTATACTTGAATTTATTTGCCATATATTATACACGTGAAGAACTAAAATGTTTCACTATTTTAAAAATTTTTTTTACAGTAAGGCTCACCATTTACAAGGCCCAGGAGTCACTTGAGGTAGAGGGTTATGTTAGGAGGCAATTTGTATGGATAGGTGTGGAAGATAACCTGTTCAAGGCTTGGGTTAATGGTTAAGATTGTAGTGATTGGAGAAATAATCTATTGGAAGTTGGTTCCACTGAGCTGTGGTTCACAGGAAGAAGCTGTTAGGGTGGTACTTACTTCACAGTGATGGAATATGAAGGAAATGTGGATGGTTTGCTATTAGGTAAGTGGCACAGTGTGATGGTTTGAATTGGGGGGGAGCAGGGAATATAGGTTGTCTGAGCACTTTCCATGGAATTAGTGATAGAGCAGCAAGAGGCTTGCCATAACCCACCTGTGGGAGAGAGGTTGAAGAGTGGAAAATAATTTGTCACCCACAAGGTGTTCAATATTAATAAAATCATAAAACTTTAAATTGGAAACCAAACTAAGAAAAAAAATAGTAATAAAAAAACAACCACCAAGAATCCATGTAGAGACCAATAACTAAGTTTCATTCTTGGTCATCTTCAGATAATAAAGATAAAAGGGATATATATATATATATATATATATATATATATATATATATATATATATATATATATATATGTATAATGTGTGATAAAAAATGGAAATGATTAGTTTAAGCTAGTTTTGTAGAATATTAAAATTTTTTACTATATATATATCATATATATATATATATATATTTTTACAATATGAAAATAAAAAAAAATTAAAATCATTAGACACACTGGGTTGTAGATTAATATTCTTTTCGTTTTTATTATTATTATTCCATTTAGATTCCTCGACTTTTATTTATATATATATCGGGAGGAGAAATATTTATGCTTGCTGTTAAAAAAATATAGAAAAAATGATTTTTGTTGGAGAAAATGAACTTTGTCTGTAGTTTTTTTGTTTTTTTTTTTTTTTTATCTTTTTAAATGAATCTTTTAACATTCCTTGTGTTGGTCAAACAGTCTCTTTTTAAGTTGTTATTTGAGATAAGAACTGGATAGAAACATTTTATCCTAGTTTTAAAAAATCCTGGAAATGGAAAGCTGTTTGGATGGTAAACATTAATGTTCTTTAATTTTGTTATTTTTAAAAAATAGTTTTCAATACAATGTTTCTTTTATAAATATAATTATTTATTTAAAAATATGTAGGTTGAAATCATATTTTTTAAATATATTTATATATATATATATATATATATATATATATATATATATATATATGTGTGTGAGAGAGAGAAAGTATTAATGTTATGTCTTGTCATGTGAAATGGCACTGAACATGTCCATAAGTTTGTCTTTTTTTTTTTTTTTTAAAAAAAGAGAAAGACATTTCAAAATAATTTTTAAATCATAAAGAGGATTGGTGGGTCAGCAAGAAATTGATTAGCTAAGAATAACATGTTTTTAAAGAGAAAGAAAAGGAGAAAAGAAAAACAAACTATATATATATATATATATATATATATATATATATGTGCATGTTTTTAAAATCTACCGTTTAGAATTTGTCATTTAAACTAGCTGCTGTAGAGGCTCTCAATTGGGCCTTCATCACAATAGATAGGGAGGCGTAGATGTATAGAAGTAGTCAACTGCTAGAAGTGAGTCAAGTGGATTCCACAATGTATCTTCAACTGCAGACCAATATACACTATTTACTACTGTATTTATGTGAATGGGGACATAGCCATTATCGTCTGTGGGTATGCTACAACAGTGAATGACATGTTTCTTTATAAGAAAATGCCTAATATTCACATTATCCTCTATAAATCTTTGTTAAATCACCACTACTATATGGATAGCTAATAATACGATTAACACACACACACACGTGTGTGTGTGTATATATATATATATATATATATATATATAAGTGTGGCTCTAGGTGTAACTCTCTTTGCATGTTTTTATTTTGTTCAAGGCATCTGAAGATCACGTAAGTATGAAAATTGAGTTATGACTAGAGCCATCCTTTCATAGGATTTAATATTGTTAAGTTTTTTGTTTGGTCTAGACAATCTGGGCTTTGAGCACTTTACTGAGTAAAGTAAATTATCTTTCTCTTTCTTTTTTTCAGTATTGTCAATTTTATTTGAGACTGTATCTGGATAATAGTTTTATGTTTTTGCAATGTTTTGTCCATTGGTTTCATCCATCAATGGTTTTTGTTTTTATATATGTCTTTCATGTCAGGTTTTTATATATATATATATAAAATACACACACACTGGTATGAATACAGTCTTTCATGTCAAGATTACACACACACACATTTATATACAGTTGTTCATCTCAAGCTTTTATATATACATATATGTATATATATATTTATACAATATATTTAAATCTCAAGTTAATTTATATATTTCAGCTTGGCATAAAAGACTGTATGGAAAACAAAGTGAGAAATATGAAGAAACATTAATAACAAAGAAAAATAAAGACAGTAAAGATGAATGATTAAATGAAGAAAAAGAATGAAAATTTGATGAATGAAAGTAGAAAGAGAGGAATGAGAAGGGAATGAATAAAGAATAAAAGTCAAGTAAAATGGAGGAGAACTAAAAAAAAAAAAACCAAAGATGTGGACATCCAAAGAGAGGGGTACAGAAAGAGGTAAACAGAATGATGAATGTCAGGAAAATGAAGAAAAGGAAAGAAAACAATGAATCCTAAAATAAAATTAAAAGTTGTCAAAGTAACCTGAAGATAACTGCAAGTATGTGAACAGGTTTTGCTTTAGAAAGCAGAATTTTAATGAATTATGTTTACGACTTGCTTAATTTGTTTTTCCCCCCATTTCAAAGTAACTTTTCAATTCACTTCAAACGGCTCCGTGCAATTTGCATGGCCTGAAAGGATAGCTAAAAATCTAAAGCAATTTCTTGTCGTTTTCCTCAGCAATAATAAATTTTCGCATTAACACTAATTTTTTTATCAAGAATACAAAGACACGCAACAATGATATGAGCCAACAGTACTTCATTTCTCTCTTTAAAAAAGAAAAAAAAGATGATGTTATAGAATAGTGCAAGCTGTTTTCTATAATCTGTGTTTTCCTATCATAATTATGATTCTGCTTGTTCTTTTGTTTGCACAACCATTACGCCCTGCCAATACCTCATAAATAATGGACTATTCTGTTTTGGTCATGTGGAGGGATGGAAAAGACATATTAGAGACACTGTTTGGTTTCAGTGAGAAAAGAAAGAAAAGATAGAATAGGTCAACACATTCCCATGCATATAACAAGCAGCTTCAGTGAAATGGAAAACCTTGTCAATTTCGAATCTTTTCATTTGTACCCTCTTTAAATATTAACCCGCATTTATACTTGTGATTATTACTGCAATATTTGGTTAAAGTTGTTAAGCTCAAATATTTAATGACTCAATAGGGGAATTTGCATCGGTATTTTATAGTCATGAAACTCAAAGAAATTATTAATCATTAAATATTATTATACAGAATATATTTTAAATAGGCTCGAGATTTTCATGGGTACTACTAGATTTTTTTTATGGCGGACTGAAATTAAATATTTTATATAAATAGTTAAGAGACTAAATAAAAATTTTAATCAAAATAGACTTGACCTAAAAGTTTAAGGATCAATTATTCATCAATCATCAGTCATGTGACCAGGTGTGGTTGTAGGGTCATTGTACAGTGGTTATCGTCATCACTCTCATCAGTCCCATTATTTTAGGGTCACTGCACAGCTGTGCATCTGACCAGCTCCCTCTGTATATCTCGGTTATGTGCCAATGTTTCAATCTCTGAATGATCTACCAGTTAACTCAGCTTACGTCAATATCACCAAATTTAAGCAACATTGAGCCTAGTCAGTACCTAGATGGGTGACCACCTGGGAAGACCAGGTGTTGTAAGCTTTGATGTGCAGTTGGTTTGATGGATAACAACTTGGAGAGCTGAGTTCAAATTCCAGTCAGTTCATTATATTCACTAATGTGCAAATATCCTTGGGAAATGTATAAATACACCTCTTCTTCCATCAACTATAAATTAAATAGTAGGACTTGTACCAGTAAATCATTACTATCTACAAAAAATTCTTATAATCTTAAAATATTTTCTGGTTTTGTTGTGGAGTAGCTGAACACCCCCACAAGATGGACTGGTCTAAGACTATTTAAACAGCACTCTCTCTTATTGCAAGAGAGGAGTTGATGATTAACTGTTTATTACATTAGTCTGTGTTCTCAATCGTGTACCACTCCGGAATAAACTATTTCTTATTTTCTTTTTATTTTCTATATGTCTGTCAACCTTTCCTATTTGCTATGCGTGATACATACTTAGGTGATCATGTATCTTTCGATACATGACTGACAAGGCAGATTTTTCCTGCAGGTTGCCATTTCTTTCTGCGGTAGACCAGTTACCATCCAAGGCTATAGAACCCAGTCTGTCCTGCTATTTACCCATAGCTGGGGGCGAGGAGAAGAAGAGGATTCATACCTTTCCCAAGGGTATTAGCACGTATGTGAATGTAATGGATTTGACTGGAATTTGAACTCGGCTCCCCGATTCCTCAATCCGAGCTGCTATCCATTACTCCACTATGCCTCCTAATTTTTGTGACACAACAGGTTTTAAATAAACAGTGAAAGGTTGATAAACCATAAAAAACAAGTTGATCAATCAATCTGTCCACTCTGTGGCATTGTCAGATCATTTTTTCCCTTTGTCTGTCTTCTCTTATTTTGTCTAAGGTGGTACGTGGTAAGATGGTAATGGAAAGATTGTTAGCACTTAAAACATGTCATCTCTTCTTGATGGTGGTTATGAGGTCTTCTAACGAGCGTGTTTTATCAATGCAACTGCCATGTTTTTTCATACAGTACTGTTTATGCAATACAAGGCCCAAGAGCCACTCAAAATAGAGTGTTACTGGATTAAGTTGTTTTATGAATGTAAGAGGAGAAGTGAAGATTGTGAGGATACATTAGATAATGGTTTCTCATAGATTTGAAGAGGTTAAGGTTGTAATGGTTGAGGAAGTATCCTCTCAGGAGTCTGTTTGACAAAGTAGACCCTTTTTTTTTAATGGGTTATACATTTCTTAGATTCTGCTATAGAAGAAGATTTGCTGGAAAAAATTATTGAAAATTAAAAAAAACAAAAAAAGAAGAAATCCTATTATTGAAAATTAAAAAAAAAAGAAGAAATCCTAGCAGCCTCTTTTATTCCAACCACCCCTTCTACTTGAAACTTGAGTATAGGAGGCTTGGTGACTTTATCTGGAAATAACCTGTAATTACAGAATTATCAAACTTGTTAAAATAAGGATGTTGCGGAAATCACCTCTTTTGTTCCAAGGTGTGGCCATTTTTCCAGTAATCATTTAATGGCATAGATTAGAGGTGTGGTCATTTATCCGGTAAACAATTAATGGCTCCTGGTACATTTGTCCCACAAAGTATATTTGGTGGAGTTGTGTGAGGCCGGGTAAAAAAAACAAAAAAAAAACGAAACATGGATTTTAAAACAAACGATAATCAGGTGCATGTTATAAAAAAGAGTAAAGAAAAAGATTTCACTTGCTATTAAGAATGTGTGTGCGTGTGATAGAGTTCAATAGTAAGTAAACCAAGGAAATTAATGTGTGGAAGACAACTTATGTGCAACTACATCTTGGAGCTAGAAAAATGTTGTGGAGTGATTTCACAGTGGAGGCTTGTATTTGTACTAAGTCGGTCCTAAAATAGGTTCGACATACAAAAATGTTAGGAACTTGATATAATAGGTATAACGCAGAGTAATCTAGTTGTGGTCACTGATACTTTAGTATTCGACTGTCGTCCAGCATTGTCTGACTGACTCACTCTCACATTACTCTTACTACTCCTACTTATTATAGGTGGGAGAGTCTATTAACTATAGAATAGGTGTGTTCTACTATAACAAAAAGAAAGAAAGAGGATATGTTTATCTTTCTATAGATTTAAATAGAGCCACCTAATGGGTGTTTTTGGCAAAGCCAAGTGGGGTAAGCACTTTGGCAGCTTGGTGAAATAGTAATACAATGAGTGACAAGTAATTTATGATTGACTTGAGTTATGCATAAAACTCAAATGCCAAAAATTAGATTGTAATAAAATGGATGATTTTTTCCTTTTTCATTTGTCAAAATAAATTCTACCAGATGATATGTGTGATGCTAAAGGCAAAGAGGTAGTGTAGCTTGGGACAGGGACAAGACTTAAAACCGACTTGCATCAGAATGATGAGACTCTCTATATTTGATGTAGCAACTACAAGGGTTTTTTTTCTTGAGCAACACTAGCAAGAGTTTATCAAGAAGACAATAATGAAGCAGTACGTGAAAACTGTGAGCTCCTGAAGGTGATAGAAAGATGGGACTGCTGGTAATGGAGATAGACACTGTGTCAAATTGCATCATAATTTAACAGTTGTGACACTAAATCTATCAGTCAATGCAAGACAAGCACCCCATCATCTGATCAGACAAATTATGTTTCCAGCTCTTTTATGCTTACAACTAAGTTTGTATAAAATGCTTTTCGATAAAACTAAACGGGGCTGCTCATTACAATTTTCTTTTACTCCATGGCCACTGGGCTGGGATCAAAGTGTAGTATCTGTTCTCCTCAAGCTCTAATGGTAATATTTGAAAATGCAAAGTGTAGCTATTCACCAGCAGTCCAAGCCAATGTTGAAAGCAAACTGGATCCTGGAAATTCTGGAAGATGTCCAACCAAATTTTGAATAGAGGCAAAGATTCTGTGCTTATTATCATAAATGGCCTCTTGGTCATCTCATCCTTGTGAGATAAGGTGAAGCTCTTTGCTATTATCTTTGAATCTAAATCAACAATCAATGACAAAGGCCATCCCTTTCCCAACTTCCTCTGTCTCACTGAGCACAATCTCAATAATTTTTTTTTATTTACAGCCAGGGAAGCCCCACCTGACTTATGAAAAGTCTTGACTCTAAGAAGGTTACTGGTCCAGATAAAATCCTAGTGGTTGTCCTTAGGAATATTAGCCTGGAGGTATCTCTGATCTCAGCAAAATTATTTAACTGCTGCTTGAAGTAGAAATCCTTCCAAAGTCAGTGGAAGATGCCAAGTGTATTCCTCATTTCCAAGAATGTAGGCGAGCGTTCATTCCTGTATAATCAGTCAATCTCCTCAGTGTTATTAGCAAACTGTTTGAAGCTATAATCAACAAGAAAATTGTTGATCACCTCAATAAGCTCAACCTCTTGAGCAGCAAACTGTACAACTTTTGATTTGGCTTGATCCACTGCTGATATCCTAACTGCTATTACTCATGGAATCAGTGAGGCAAAAAATATATCTCAAGAACGATTGCATTAGATATTTCAAAGGCTTTTGGCAAGGGGCAGCATAATGGATTACTGCAATAAGCTCTCTTACTATGGAATAAATGGAAGAATCTTAATTATAAAATCCTTCCTAATTGGTATGTAATAAACAAAAAAGAAAAAGTGACGAGAGCAGGGGATCAGAAAGTGCAGTGCGCCATTTGCCTCAAGGAAATAGATTGTGAGACTCCCTTTCTCGGCTGTTACACCAGGCAGTCGTGAAAATCAACTCAGCCATGCCTACTTCGACTTCCTCTTTGTCTGTCTGTCAATTTGTACGCCCAACTCTATTGCACACAGTCCACTGAATAACTCCCGACCTGATTCGTGCTGCTGGTACCCTGCTTTTTATACCAGTCTGATACTGCCAAAATTTGAATGTGTGCAAATATCATCTCATTTTGGATGAGATAGGCATGCATAAATTGCGCCATCAATAGCGGCCATGTTTCTTTTCGTCATTACTTTGTAGGCAAGACATGTTCACGCTCATTTTGAACTCCGAGGTAAGTCATGTCTTTCGTCACTGGGTAGATCCCTGAAGGTAGTTGTTAACAGCCAGTCCTCTGCGGCCCAAGTGATCAACTCAGGCATCCTCCGAGGTTTGTTTTTTGGTCCAACCCTCTATTTGACATAAATGATCTGCCTAAGAGTATATTCTAATCATTTGTGAATATCTACGCTGACGATATGATAGAATATAGGTGCAGCTCCAAAACTCTAGATGACCAGAGATTGACAACTGACCTCTATTTTGACGTAACTCTAACAGATGAGTGTAGGAAAAACTGGCTGGTCACATTCAATGCCTCGAAAAATAAACTAGTGGAACTCGATCATCACTGAGCAGATCCATAACTTTCACCGATCACAATGAACAGTGTCCCTCAGAGAGAACTGGTGCTCTGAGTGACTTTGTGGAACTTGTACATACAATCCATAAATTAAAGATGCTGGAAAAATGGTCAGTTTCCTGTACTGCTCCTGTAAGTACCTGACTCCTCCAGCTATTCTTTAGCTTTACAAGAACCAGACCAGGCTGAAAAGGGAGTACTGATGCTATATATGATCAGGAGCTACCCAAATATTACTTTCCAATATTGATAAAGTCCCAAAGCATCTCTGCATCCTTGTGGGTGATTTCCACCCTATAACCCTTGTCCCACCGAGTGACATCACTCGCTCACTTTCTGGTGTGACTGTTCGGTTAAACTCTCTTCCTAGTTTGAGAGGAACCCAAAGGATATTTAATATGTGGAGTCTCCTTCGGGAGGTAAACGGCCCTGTTTTATTTTATGGGTTCAAATGGGCTATTTTTTGGCCGAGCCTAATGGCTTGGGAATTCCCCGTTAAAAGGCCTTGTGCCACATGACACCCTCGTGGGGGGGGGTGACTAAATATCGTCCCACAGATGAAAGAATGCAAACCATTCGCTACTCTATCACTATTTCCATAGAAAGTGTTCAGATGAATTACTTTTTCTTATTTCCACCTGTTCTAACCTTCATGGCTAGGAT